TAAGTAGAGGAGAAAAAAGAGTAGTGATGATCGATAAGGGAAAATAAGGCAGAAAAAGGAGAGGTGTTGCATTGCAATATGAAAAATGGCAGTGTTTGTAATATTGTCTCTTACCACCATGTGATACAGGAGTCAGCCAGATTTTCTGTGAAGGGCCCGATAGTAAATAATTAAGCTATGTGGATGGTACAGCTTTTGTTCAACTACTCAACTCCAGAAATATGAAGGCAGTCATAGACAATGAGAAAACAGGTGAGTGTGGCTGGATTCCAATTAAACTTTACAGAAATAGGTGCTGAGCTGGATCTGGCTGTGGGTCATAGTTAGCGGACTCCTGATGTAGTGTAAACCCCCGCAGACAAGGGTGTGTATGACATTTCTTATACCCCCACAGTGCAATGAACTTAGGGGTGCATACAGTCTTTCCAATTAGCGTTTTGGGTTTCTTCGGGTTACATACCCGGAAGTGGAATCTCTGGGTCATAAGGCAGTTCCATTCTTTATCTTCTGAGGAAACGCCATACTTTTTTCATCGAGGCTGCACCAGTCTGAAAGTTGCACCTTTTCCATGGAGTCTTTCCTAATGTGACCCTGCAGGGCACAGTGGCAAGAAGACTCTAGCACCGTAGTTCACACGCACCTTCCTGTTTCTCTGGTGATGATGATGATGATGATGATGATGATGTGTGTGTGTGTGTGTGTGTGTGTGTGTGTGTGTGTGTGTGTGTGTGTGTGTAAGTCTCCCCATTGGGATTGTATGCTCCTGGAGAACACAAAACATGTTTCAAAGTTGTTTTGTTTGTCAGCTTGTTTTGGTGGTGGTGTTAGTGTTCTTTTCTGATTTATCTTCCCAGGGTCTTGAACAACATACGAAATGAGTGACAGATAGCCTGTTACATCAGCAGGTACACAGATAGTGTGTTACTCCACTGGCCCCAACCCTAAAGGCTCCCCAAGTCTCTCTGGGACTCTCTAGGGGACATATTGGATGTGTTCAGAAGCAAGTCCTCTCAGCCCCAACCTGCTGGAATGCAGTCTTCAAGTGACCTCTTAGATTTGAATGGATTGAGAGGGAAAGGGGTGGGTCAGATGGCTGCTGAGATCATTTGTTTGAGAGGACTTAGGGGCGCCTCTATGAGATGACCAAACATAGTTGCAGGAACATTGGAGGTCCCATACAACCAAGTCAGAAAAAATGCTGCCTGGGGCTGAGGCAGTAGTGACTTGCATTATGGAGAGCAACTCTCTTTTCAAAAGAAGTGTTTTTGGAGACAACAAGGATAAGATTCAATTTGTCCAAAAGCTTTATAAAGAGGGTGAGTGTGAAAAACTGCAGGCCGTTAGGCCTGATCTACACTTTATTAAGATGATTCTCAAGTGTGGTTTTGTAACCACCTGAGTGGAACCAGTGATTTCAAAGGGTTTCACAATACTCCCAGACAGATGACTTTATTTCTTTATAGTAAGTGCTAAATGATATGTTACATAGCAATTTAAATATGGGGAAGGGAAGGACATCACTGACTAAGACAATAATACAGTTTCACCAGGTGGAAAAGTTGGCTACCTGTGCCTTCTTCACTATAAATAAGCGAGTTGGGGATTGTCCTTCTGAAGTCTGCAGCTTTAAGAAAAAAATCGACACTGTGGATTGATTTTTTTTTTTTTTTGTCATTCAGTAAAGTAAATAAACTTCAAACACTGTGTAACCATGTATTTATTCTGCCAAACGACTATAAAAAATAATAATAATTGAAAGCCAAACCACTGATTAGTGAAATTCTCTCAATTGTCAGAATCTTATGTTCGCTTAGGGACAGACGTCGATTGTGGTTTGTAACCCAATGTCACACTTCCTGTAAGGTGCGTGCATTCTTCCAGTTCTTCCAAAGTCAGATGCTCAGTCACCTCTTTGCTGCTCTACATGGTCCCCTCGTGGCTGGCAAGTGCTCATTCACCACTGAGTTTACTTCCAAACAGTAGTTTACCATAACATATTTAATTTTATTTTCTGGAAGAAGTACTTCAACCTTGCATATTGGCACAAACTAACTATAAACATATCAAAGAAAAGGGTCTTATATAATCTAACCATTTATGGACACAGTACTTGAGGAGAAAAGAACTTTAACTTTTCCCTCTCGTAAATTAAGGAAGTTCTCCCTGTAAGAGCTCATGTTGAATTATAGCTGACAACAGTATGAACAGCTCGGTCACGCCACTGAATTCTTTCCAACTCCAGCTCCATAACTCACCCTCTCCCACATGTCCTGTACTCTTGACCTTAGAAGACTTTTCCTAATAATTATTACTTATGGTATCCTAATTGGGATGCAAGAGGGAAAAGTTCAGTAGCTATTTCAGGACTCACAATATGGTAGAAAACAAATGTTGGATTTAAAGACTAAGAGTTTAGGATTGGGTGCAGCTTCCACCAGATACTATATATGTTACCTTGGGAAAGTCGCTTGCCTTCTTTGAACTTCAGTTTTCTCATCTCTCAATTGTTCACTGGGTTTAGTCATTCAAAATCATTTTTATTATCTTCTAAAGTCCCCTTTAGGTATTGTGATAGATAGATAGATAGATAGATAGATAGATAGATAGATAGATAATCTATACTAATAAAAGAGAAAGATGCAAATTGACCATACCTTCGTGACACCCCAGCCAATCAAGAATGGGTATGCAAATTAACCCAGCAAAGATGGCGAGTTGATTTGCATACGCAGGTGCCCAGCAGCCAGGGCGGGATACTTGCATCATCACCATGACGATGATGCAGGCTTTCCATATCGCCCCAGCCGTTCCAGGCCTCTGGGTAGCATGGGAAGGTGGAAAGGCGGCTCTGGCCAGAGCGAAGGCGGTACCGGCAGCCAGGGGAAGGAAGGCCCATTCTTGCACAAATCTTCATGCATCAGGCCTCTAGTAGATAGATAAGATGCTAGGTGATAGATAGATAGATAGATAGATAGATAGATAGATAGATAGATAAGATGATAGATGTTAGATAGATAGATAGATAGATAGATAGATAATAGATAGATAATCTGGACCAGATAGACCTATTGTAATGAGATTCTGCTCTTCAAAGTGAGCAAACCAAGTAACAAATTTTCCTTTTCATAATGCTGTCCTGGCAGAGTCAGCACTTCCTGTGTGAATGTGCTATATATTACAAAAATATTGGTTGCATTTTCAAAATCTAAAATGATGTAAACTCCTCATCACCAACTGGATCTTGGGCCTGAGCCCTTGCCCTGCTGACCTGGGCTGGCCATACAAACAGGGAGGATTTCTGCTGCTCAGAAGGCTTGAACAGCCCAGAACAAAAGCAGCAGAGCACCCACACTCTCTCCTGGGGCCTAAGGTCTTCACAACTTGAAAAGGAAGGAAGGAAGACCCCAAGGAGAAAAGAAGTGTCCCTGGGACTGAGAGCAGCTGATCAGAGGGAGGTGAGGAGAAGAAGGAAAGGAAGGAGGAAGGAAAGAAGGTTCTTATGGCTTCCTTCTAGAGACTTCTTACCTATTCAAGGAAGAATGAACTTTCAATGATCAACGGTTATACATTTTGAATCCTCTACCTCACAACTGCCATATATTTTTACTGTGGACTAACCAACTGAAATAAACTTACATGTTTAAATGTGTCGCTTTGCAGAACAAGGAATCAATCAGCAAGGGACTCTCAGAAGCAGACTATCCTGCCACATCCCCAAGATCAATGATTCCAGCAACAGCACATTAGGGTCCCTGATACTGCACATCCTTAATTTATGAAACATTCATTGGAGGGGCTTTCCCAAGGGTTATTTTCATACACAGATTAATATAGGGGCTTTTTCTTGCATTTGTTTAGAAAAATCTCATCCTGGTGGAGAACATTCAAGCTTCTCTGCTGAGTAAGCTAAAGTCTTTCTTCTGAATTGTCCCTTAACCTTCAATCTCATCTCATCTGAAGCAGAAAGCATGCTGGATTTTGTTTTGTTTGCCTTCTAATATAGAAAGTGCTTCAGATCAAAGAACTGGGAAGAATGTGAATGCTGACCCTATATTATGCTTTTAGTTATTTGTGATATCCTCTGTACTTACTCTAGTGTGGACTTTTTCCCCTTCATCCCCTTCATCCCCTTCACCCCCAAGCTGTTAGGATCGTACCAATGTATTGTTCTAACCTTGAGTGAACAGCTTCTTAACTAACCTACAGCCATGGAAAGCCCACTGAACTAACAACCACAGAGGTCCATCAGGATTCAAGATGTCCCAATCCCAGTCTGAGGGACCTTCCTCAAAGGGCCCAGGAACCACTCAAGACGGCTGCTTGTCAGCGTCCTTTTCTTTCTCCAGCCAAATATCTTTGAAAGAAAGAAGAAAAGAAAGAAAGAAAGAAAGAAAGAAAGAAAGAAAGAAAGAAAGAAAGAAGAAAGAAAGAAAGAAAGAAAGAAAGAAAGAAAGAAAGAAAGAAAGAAAGAAAGAAAGAAAGAAAAGCTCTCTTTGAACGCACTCATTTCTTTCCCAAATAATCCTGTTTAATAATGAATACCTTATTAGGCCAAATCCAGCACCCTGAACACACTGACACATCTGCCAAGCACCTCCAATTCTGCACTAAAGGGGTTTGAAAATAGCCAGTAGCCACTGCGAGGGGAGGACATGTGAGAGGCCTCACTGAGGAGTTTCCCATCCGTGTTTGGAGGTCCACCATGCCTCGCTGTTGGCAGATTTGGGCTGAGCTATGCGTCACATTGTTCATGTAAAGAAAAGCAACTGTTTTCCCCGAGCGCCCCTTCCCTGTTCCAAATGGCTGTGATCAGCAGCCCCAGGACCCTAATTGCCACAGCCTATTAGGAATAATGAGACATAGATGGCAGAAGCCAAGGGTAAAAGCGACATCTCACAACACGAAAGGTTAATATCAACATATACTGCCCCTGAGTGCAAAGGGCGCCTCAACTGGTGGCTCATTACTGCGGTTGACCCACAGGGAAAGTGTCATTCTGCAGAAAGGCTTTCCCAGGATGGGGCAGCCAAAGGTACAAAAGATAAGGACTTGCCTGTGGAAAACGCTCAACTAATGAGAGCTGCAAAGGGAAACATCCCGATGACCTCACAGATGGCGGATGCTGATTAAGGTGGCTACAGGAGGCTCCTTTCTTGTCTGACAGCCCGTTGAGAAGCTTTGGTGAGATGTGACTAACAGGCCGTGAAGGTGTCTCCATCTTGTCTGGCATGGTCCACGCTTTGGGCAAAACAAACATGAAAACTAAGTCCAAACCGACATGCATGTGTGAGTTTAGTTTTCAGAGACATGTTTTAGGAAATGCGCATGATGGGGCCATCAGCTATGATTCCTTTATGGCAAAGGGGGGTTGTGACAACTTGCGTGACTAATCGCATGACTGCGCTGGGGGTGAGCCAGCGGCAAATTTAGGTCTTGAACACTTGACAAAACAACCCTACTGTTCTGTGGGTGAAATTCTATGGAGCTTCGTGTGTAATTAAATGAAAGTTTCACAAGAATTTGCACCTCAATCATTCAATGCTGATGCGTGGCACAAAGGAAGGGGTTTTGCCACATCAAAATACATCCATGAAACAATGGAGAAATGAAACCAAATTTCTGTTTGCTTTGTGTGACGTTTTCTAAGACAGAGACATTCACAAAAGAAACCCTGGAGTTCTCTTGACTTTCATTTAGTGCCTGGGACTCTGCAAAGAGATCACCATTACAGATGCCCTGCCCCAGCTCACACTACAAACCAGGATGAGAATGCACCTCCTGCTGCTTGTCTTAGCTCTTTCTCCAGCAAAGCCAGATGTAACAACCGCCCGCTTACCACCGCTAGTGGTACTAACTAGTACTGCGTAACTAGTACTAATTATACTAGTTATCCAGAGCTTGTTGACAAATTATCACAAAACATAGTGGCTTAAACAACAATGAGCTTTTATTATCTCACATAGTTTCCCTGGACAACCTCATAATAGAGTCAAGATGTTGACCAGAGCTGTGATATCATGTGAAGGCTTGTCTGGGGCTAGAGGATTCGCTTCCAAGGTGGCTCACTCACATGTCTGGCAAATGAGTGCTAGTTGTATCCAGGAGGCCTCAGTTCCTTGCCCCATGGGCCTTTCTGCAGAGCTGCTTGAGTGGCCTTACAACATGGCAGCTAGCTTCCCCCAGAGTGATAATCCAAGAGAGAGAAAGATGAAAACCACAACTTCTTTTATGATCTAAACTCAGAAGTCATATACTGCCGGGAGCCGGTCCATGCTTGCTGTTTCAAGGGACCTGGCATACTGTTGGCATACTGTTCTTAATATGTTTGCTCACCTTCTTGGCACTATGTGTTTTAACCAAGGTGTCTGAGAAAGGTTGTTTCCCCAGGTAGGGATTTTCCCCTGAAGTTAGGGAGGGAATAAAACCTCTTAACTAAGTACCAGGCGGGTAATTAATCACTTTAACTACGAACAATCATGCTTAAGCTACATAATCTTTACTCCCTGGAATGGAGATAAGAAATGCCCTAACCTTTGGAATAGAGATTGATAGGATTGGAATCAACTGGTATAAATACAGATGTAAGAACACAGAACTTAGAATACAGAGCTTAGAACACAGAACTAAGAAGACAGAACCTACACAGAACCTACAGACAGAAGAACTTCGCTGGAGAGAACATGGCAAAAGATCCTGGACTGAACCTGACTACAGAAATTGGCAAGAGAACCTAACTAGAACCTGGTGACTGAACCTGGCTGGAGAACCTGGACAGAACCTGGCTGGAGAACCTAGTGAGGGAACATGGCTACAGAACCTGGCTGGAGAACCTAGCAAGAGAACATGGACACAGAACCTGGCTGGAGATCCTAAGCAGAACCTCTCTGGAGATCCAGACCAGAACTTGGCTGGAGATCCTGGCTGGAGATCCTGGCTAGGCTGCTGATCAACTGAACACTGTCTCTGTGTCCTTCCTTCTTCACCGACTCCATCTACACCTTTGGGAACCCCTGGGCCCGCTGGGGTTGGACCCGGCAATATACCATCACATAAACAGTATTCCAGTGCTTACAGAGGTCAGCTTATTTAGTACAGGAGGGGACCCCCCATGCGTGTGAATACTAAGAGACAAGAATCTTTGAAAGCCATCTTGGAGGCTGGATACCACACCACTTTTTAAAATATTTAAAGTATACCAGACTGTTTAAAAAATATGAGGAATATGATGTTGATCTAATCAACCAGATTCTACAAAGGAGACCAAAACAAAGAACACCACAGGAAAATTTCTGAAGAAAATACAATCCACTCAACTAAAAATGTTTTCTTGCACTGATAAATGCTTATATATTGTGCCTGTAAAGACAAAGTTGAAGTGACAAGTTAGAGGTTACCCAAATGAGATTGATCTTGGTAGATTATTTTTTTAAGAAATCAAGGTTTTAAAAATATATATATAACTTACTCTCTTCTGACCTCAAGAGCAGGATATTTTACCTAAAACATCTAGAAAATTGCAGTCTTCCTATTTCAGTATATATCAATGGAGTGGTCTACAATCATTCACCAATGCACCAAGCACTGATAATTTAAGAGGAACAAGGTAGAGAAAATCTAAATCAACTGATTCTAGGATTCATTTTATGGAGGACCCACCTCTTTAGGGAAATGGGCTTGATAAACCTGTTTAGGAAAAGTGTATTCCTGTGAGTTTAGATGTGGCCAAGATTTATATATGTTCTCTATATATTAAAACTAAATTGATTTATAAAATGTATCAATAATTTATCTCATAAAAGAAACTCTTACTTAAGCAGTTGATGAATCAGTTTAATGAATCAACTCTTCTTGTTTCTCTATAGAATACATGGTAGACTTGTTCACCTAGTTTGAAATTATCACAAAGTTAATATTCCATTCTTTAATTTATATTGAATTCCTATTTTATTAATAAGAACCATTACTTTCTTAGACTTTTTTTTTTTCATTTCACCTCCATCACCAACACTAAAAGTTGGTTGTCTTTTCTAGGCCATTTTCATTAAAAAAAAAATTTTTTTATTACTTCATAAGAAGTATTGAATGCACACTAATGAGGAGAGAACCTGAAGACAGATTTAAGGTAAATTCTAGGTAGTCAGCTGGACTCACCCACAACTTCATATAATTCAAGACTCAAATTCCTGGAAAATTGTACTTTGTTGTGTGTTTTCAGAACCTCATGTGAAGAATCAAAGTCACAAATGTTAAATCCACACATGCCAAGGGTATACTGTCTACTGTATATCTTCTAAGTAAAAGTAATAAAAGTAAGAGCTATTTATTTACAAGTAAGAATTTAATCACTATTAAAATTGTTCATTTAATGTATCTACATATATTACAGAGAGCAAAAACCTATGCCCAAGTAACCATCAACATATATTAGTCTATCCTTTCACTGAAATATTTAAAGTCAAGGTTATCCAATTGTAATAGTAGTGTCCTCAGCACAATTAATGGAAATATGGAAGTCAAGACAAAGGCACATTTGGTTAAGGTAGTTAAGTTTAGTATTAGTCATTTAAGTTTGAGGTACTTGTGTATGAAAGGTAGAGATATTCAACAATATGGACCCAGGACCAGCTCAGTTTATGGGCTAAGAATAATGATACGTTTGGAGGAGAACTAATAGATCTAAAATAAGAGCCACTGGTAAATGCTCAAAGAAATTGGGACACAGCAAGAATTTTGAAGAGCCAGAATCCAAGCCCAGATCTGTTAGATAATAACCTTACTTTTTTTTTTTTTCATTCTTTGGAATAAAGTCCAAGAAAGTTTATATGGTTCACTGGATTTGGATTACTTTAAGGTTATAGGCCAAACATTTAACTTTAGTCTATTTCTCTTTCTTACAGGGTAAACAGACCCATCCTATTTCTTTTGTTCAAAGACCCTCTCATTAAAAAGAAATACAAAGAATGGTTACTTATGTGAATAGACTATCTGCTTTAATAAACGGTAAAATCTCAGTAAACATTAAAATTTTATTTTGCCTTACACAAAGTTCAAGGTGGATTCCCTGGTGGAGTAGTAGTCCTCTTCTCAAGTGGTGACTTGAGGATTCAGGCTCATTTCATTCTTAGGATGTCACCTCTTCAACATGGGACTCCCAAAGTCACCATGAAGGGTTCCAAAGCACATGGGACACGCAACCACCTTAGCCTGAAAGTGACAGTCACCCAGCTCACTTTCTACTAACGAGAGCTAGTCACACAGCCCCACTAGATGCAGAGAGACTAGGAAATGTCATTTCTGGCTGAGTAGCCACATCCCAACAGTACTCTGCATTGTGGAAAGGAAGCATGAATTATTGATGATCAGCTAGCTGTCTCTGCCACAGGTTATTTGTTGATTTTTTTCACTGGCTTTTCACCTTAAAATATGATTTATATCAAGCCCTAGCCGATTTGGTTCAGTGGAGCCTCAGCCTGCGGACCAAAGGGTCTCAGGTTTGATTCTGGTCAAAGGCATGTACCTTGGTTACAGGCTCCTCTCCAGCCTATGCCCTATGGCGCATGAAAAACAATCAATGGATGTGTTTTTCTCACATCCATATTTCTATCTTTTCCTCTCTCTCTTCCACTCTCTCTAAAATCAACAGAAAAATATCCTTGGGTGAGGATTTTTTTTAAAATAAAAAAAAATAACTCACATCAATTAATAAGGCAAAAAGGTTATTTGGGAACCTCTTTTAAATAAAAACATTATTAACAGCACTTTGAAGTTTTAGAGTGATTTCTCACATGCTTTAGCTCATTTGTTTCTCATGGCAATCCAATTAAAATAGTGTAATATCAGACCTTAATATGGATATTGTTCACTATACTAGTTACAGTTTTATGTTCCTATATTGGACAATGTGTTATCATGGTTCATTTCTCAACATATTTCTAAATATAGTAGATATTTAGAAACTAAATCAATATAAAAATTTGAACAAAGACAAAGATAGAATATGAATTAAAATCTGAGTCTGTGATAAATTTGCTTTTGATAAAAAACGATCCAAAACAAACAAACAAAAAGGAGAAGAAAGAAGAGGAGGAAAATTTTCTAACTTTTTTACAACAACAGTTGAACAATAATTGTGATACTCACAATGGTTTAACATTAATGTCCAAATACTTTGTCTCCTACCCCAATTTCTCTTATCTAAGTAAGTGGAGAGATATAGCATGTTAAGGGATTAGAAAACT